ACTTAATTAACAAAACTAATGTTATTTTGAAGGGTTGAAAAAATAAATGTGATAAAATATTTTTAATTAGCAAAAATAACGTCGTTTCAAAAAATTTTAAAGTATTTTAATTGTCTAAATATTACAATATATTTTTTCTTTTATCTCTGAGAAAAATTTTAAAATTTTCAGTATATAAGCATAACTTTCATTGAAAATATTTTTTAAGTGGATGAAATACCCCGTTTCCTTGTTAAAGTTTATAAAGAGCTCAAAGATCCAAATATTATTGAGTTGATTGATGCATTCTCGCATAAAGGGAATTTGCACCTTGAGTTTGAATTTATGGAGACAAACCTTGAAGCTATTATCCGAAATATTATTCTTTCACCTGGTGACATAAAATCATTTCTTCAAATGACGTTAAAAGCCCTTGCTTATTGCCACAAGAAATGGGTGTTGCACAGGTAAATTGCAATGCTGATTTGATCATTACATAATTGTTATTTGCTTTAAGTTCTGAGCTCAAAAGTTTTCTTATGTATTTTCAGAGATATAAGGCCAAATAACTTGCCGATAGGACCTAATGAACAGCTGAAACTTGTAAATTTTGATTTAGCAAGAATATTTGGAAGCTCAGATCGCAGGTTCACTCACCAGGTTTGCTTCTATGTGTATATACCATGTGAATCCTTTAAATATGCGGGAGTTAGTGCTTACCATTAGAAAATTCAAGAAATGAGCTTATTTCTTTTGACTAAACTAAATTTTGTGAGTAAATTTAGATTTAAAATTTCTTGAAACGACCTCATTTTTATCAATTAAAATTATTTTGTTACGTTCACTTTTTCAATCTTTTAAAATAATGTTTTTTTTTGTCCATTAAGTTTTTGATATAAAATTTAATATAATAGGTTAGCTTTCTATTACTGTTTATTAATGTAATCTATATTTAGAGACTAAAATAAATAATAGATATAAAAGTTAAGAATTAATGTGATATTTTTAATTTTTCAAAAGATTAAAATAACAGGCACAAATTCTTTGGAGGAATGAAAGTTTAGTTGGTATAAATTTATAATGTTTGTACTAACAACTTAATTCTTGTAGAAAAGATTACATTTACAAAGGTTAATCTAACATTAATTTTTTAGTAATTAATAATGTTTTTGTAGTGGGCAATGTATGCAAGTGGTGCATATTCATTCGAACAAAAAATGAATAAGAAAATAATATTTTTTCCTCATGAGAATATCTTATAAAGCATGCTAACAGGCATCAAGAAAAGTAGAACTACTAGCTAGTGATAAAAGTTTATGCAACATGGGAGAAAGCATAATTAGATTTAAAAGAACTCTAAATGCCTTTGTTTATTTACTTTCTTCTTTTGCATGCTATCGCGCTGTATATCTAACCCTACCTCGTTTTCAAAGCAACTTTTCCCCACTAACGTGATGGCCTCGTAATTAGGACTTTAGCATATCAGCCAACAAGAAAATGTCTCAATTCTCTCTGCTCTTGCTTTAACCATTTTCTTATGTGTCAAATTTAAGTAGATTTATTATAAAACACATAACTTTTCCCAATAAAAATATGCCTTTGGTTCTTTTGCTAAATTTGTCTTCAAAATTTGCATGATCTAACTCTAATTTACATCATACGATTACAAGATACGTAAGAAAACACAAATACAACATTGTTTTTGCAAGAACTGTTTTCAAGTATGAGTATTTTTAATTCATTCAAGTTTACTTTATTTTACTCTATTATTGTGCATTTTATTCATCTAAATATTCTAACAAAACTTGAAGGTATAACACGAAAATGAATATTTTAAGAAAGGAATATTATTTTAGTCATTATCTTATGATGTAATAGAATTAAATAATAGAAAATAATTTTTTTAAATAAGAGTATATAAAAAAATTAAATATATTTGTTATTATTTAGTTATATTTTTTATAAAAAATAATTTTTATAATAATTAATTAAAAATTATATCTACCATGTATTCTAATTATTTAATAATGTAAAAATTATTTTTATAATAGTATGTTAATATAAAACTCATATAATAATCTCTTTGACTTTTGTTTTCAGATAGAATTTAGAAGTATTATTATAAGTATTGATTTTTTTTTAATTTGTCAAAAAATTATTTTTAGCATATTTTTTAATGAGTGGAGCTAAGAAACTCAATAAATAATAAAATAAATAATGTTAACAACACACTATTTATAACACATTTTTATTGTTAGCTAAAATTTATTAAAAATTACCAAAATAATGTGAATTCAATATTTTTCACCTCTCAATTAATATTTTTTTATATTTTTAATTTTTACTAAATTTTAGTCATTAATAAAAATATACATTAAAGAGAGATATTAAAAGATATATTACTAAGATTTTTTATAATTAATAAAATAATTAAATAATTATTTTAAGATAATAAATCTCATTACGTGTTTTAAGAAATCAACAATTAAATTATAATTTTTATAAATAAAAAAAATTATTATTAGTGAACATCGAAATTTTCTTTTCTCATTCATTAATAATTTATCATGAGATATCTTTTAAAAAAATTAATAATTTTTTTGTTAGCTTAGCTCAATTCTAAAATTTTAAAATTAGGATCCTGAATTTTTTTTATTATTAACCATCAAATTATAAAACTAATTTAAAACTAATTTTTTATTAAGAGAAGGGAACTAATTAGCTCCATTAAAACTATTTTTTTTCCAGACTTACACTGTTGTTTAATAAAAATAATATTTTATTTTTTGTAAATAACTACTACATATAAAGAAAACTCTGATATTTAGTTTTTAATTTTAATATTATTTTTAATATAAAATTATATATGATGTATTTTAATTAGTTAAATTTTTTTATAGTAACAGTATGTTAAAAATATATATTTTTAAAATTTATAATGATATAATTTAAAATTTATTTATAAAATTAAAGAATAACAAGAAATTTTAATTAAAATTTTCTTTGTGGAAATTAATTTAAAGTGTTTGACAATAAAACAGAGAAAGTGAATAAATACAAACAATGGCGGTGAACTGAAAACAAGTATCATATCCTAATACAGTGCATTAGGTGCACGTTAGTGAATGTGGCGCAGCTGGTATCACGTGGTCGCACATGCAGAGCTGACACTCTGGGAAATAGCAGATTTAGTTTATTAATAAAAAAAGAAATAATGATTTAATTTGTTTTTACCAGAAAATAAAAATAATAAAATTATTTGCTTTTTGACATTTGATGAAGCTTGACTTTCTTCTATCCGTGTGGGTCCCTTCTCCATTCCATTTTCAGTTTTCCTCACCCAATTACTTTACTTCGTTACCAACTTTCCAATTCTTACCCTTCCCTCTTCAATGCTTCTTATTCCACCGTCACAATTCATTAACTCATAAATAAATTGCAATTACTTTTATTTGGGTATGATTAACATCCCAATTTCACTTTTATAAAGCATAACTAACAAAAAGATAATACAAATGTTTTTATTTAGCTTTATATTTGGTTGTGTATCAATATTTGCTTCGTCAATTCAGTGGATGTATGAACCTGGTTACTTTAATATATTTTACCTTATTATAGAAAAGGAGGCATTAATTAAAAATTTAATGCTTAGATTAGTCTTTATTAATGTAATTTTTTAAAAAAACTATTGCATATATATAATCAATTTATACTAATAATATGGTATATTATATTAATAATTTTATTAGTAAAAATATCAATATATATTATTAAATAAATACTACTAAAAATTATTTTAGCACTTGACAACTTATGATTAGAGGATATTCTATAAATAAATAAATATTTTTAATTACTGATTTAATTATTTTTTTACTCTGTTTTTGGTTTATTGGTTTAACAGACTTAAGTTAAATGAAACCCTCTCAACTATGGATATCTTAAACTTAATGTTAATGATTTAGTCCGGCCTGATAAATAGATTGCTGGGTATGACGGTCTTATTAAAGATGACTGAGAAAATTTTATTGTTAATTTCCATAGTAGCACTCATTATTGCCCTCCTTTAGTTATAGAGTTATGGGCCATTTATTAGAGTCAGTATCTCGTCGTTTAAAAGTAATTTTAATGCATTTGAATTGAAGAAAATTTTAAATTTCTGCTCTTCAACTTTTTTTAAATGTTTCATTTTCTTATCATCCTTTCTTTTTCCTATTTTTTGATATCAAATTCTTATTAAAAAAATTTAATTTATAGAAAATTCAATCAATATGGTGATTGATTTGTTAAATATGGAACGGAGAGTTATCCTTCTTGTATATTAATGATCTATGCATCTAGCTCTGAAGTGTTAGGCATTAAATTTTTTTTTTTTTTGTTGGACATTTAGCCCCTTATAATAATAATAAAAAAAGAATTTAACTCAAATGTTATTAAAATTTAAGCATCATTACTCAATAAAAATACTAATTTTATCTACCTCGCATAACTCGTTTAATTAATAATTTATTATTATACTAAAAAATTCAACAATCGTAACATAATTGCCCTTTATTTTCTCTCATCTTTCGTCTCAATAAATGAAAAGATATTGTTCTTCTTTTCTCCCATTTTCATATTTTTAAATTTCCTCTGCAGAAATAAAAGCGTGCATGTTTTGTAAGAGTTGTAATTTATAGAAGCAGCAAATAAGCAGTTATGTTCCAAGTTGCTTAGCATTTCATAATTAAACTTAAAGCGCATCATTGACCGTACGATGAGATCTCACGTATAATTTGCATCACCGTCATGATATTTGTACCGACACACGTGTCAGATCTTGGTTATCCACAGTAAGGACAACACTCTACTGCCGCACACACCTAATAAATGTTGCATCCAAAACCCACCCTTTAGCGTTCTATAAATACCCCACACATCTTTTGCACAATGATCCCACTATCTCCTCCAACATCCCCCTTGTGTCTTGGCCTGATTTTGTACTCCGTTTTGTGCTTTGCCAAATCAAGAGGGGTTTGGGATCACTGTGTGTGGGTGCAACAATGGCTAAGGCTAAGTTCTTTGCTACTTTGATCTTGGCACTCATTGCTATTTCCATGCTTCAAACGATGGTTGGTCTTTAATGTTAAAGAACTAGACACATTTTTGTACTTCAGACAATTTATTTATTTTTACCACTAACATATAGTGGTTAGAAATTTATGAGTTGTTACATTTGAGTGGGTTGATTTTTCAGGTCATGGGTGTTAATGGGCAAGGTAGCCACCTGAATGATAACAAGGTATGTATACATATATTATACACACACACACCCTCTCTTGTCTCTCTCTATGTGTGTTGTGAAGAATCAAAATGGGGTCTTAGGATTTTGCTTTCTAATGTTACTTAATTGTGTGTTTCCACAGAGCAAATATGGACCCGGGAGTCTTAAGAGCTACCGTAAGTAACGTTCTTTCTACAATTCCTTCGTTCTTCACATCACCTTGTTCTTTTATTTATGGTATAAAGAAACGTAATGGTTGGAGATTTCTCCAAACTCTGTACATGAAAATGGTGGCAACACTGGGGATGGAAGAAGGAACATTTCTTAGAACCAACCCAAAAAGCCAGCAGAGAAGATCTTGGGTTGTTATTGTTGTTATTAATTTATTGTATTTTCAACTATGACCACAGTCTTCACAGTCAATTTTACTTTGACTGTAGTCAAAAGTTGCTTCTTTTGGAGTGCTTTCACTGTGATGTGTGAAAAGAAATGATGACCTTAGATTATATAGATGATAATGCTTGTTTATTAACGCACTTTTGGAATATGATATGACCAGAATGCCCTTCACAATGCTCGAGGAGATGTGGCAAGACCCAATACCACAAGCCCTGCATGTTTTTCTGTCAGAAATGCTGCAGGAAATGCTTGTGTGTGCCCCCGGGTTATTATGGGAATAAAGCTGTGTGTCCTTGCTACAACAATTGGAAGACCAAGGAAGGAGGACCCAAGTGTCCTTAAGCTTGAACTTCATCATCTGTTACTTTCTTGTAATTTCCTTCGTTATGACCCTTTTTCCTAACCAAATGGTAGTGCCCTTTTGGTTCTATGAAAATGTTTTGATGTATTTTGAAGTGCCCTTTTCAGTCTATGGGCTCCTTCTGCTGTACCACTCCTTAAGGCTAGTAACCCTTTAATGAGAGTGGCTTATTAATATTATATATGAAACTTATTGCTTACGTAATCTTCTTGCCTTGGCAAAATATATTTTGCACGATTCTAATCTGGACTGAATTGTGTCCATTCTTAATGAATGTATTGAACGATTGAAGAGAGAATTGGGTTATAGAAAATTGTCTACCCTTACTTTACCATTTTCACGAGGAAACACTATTTTTTCTATTAACATAAATCCTCAACTATAAGACCCTGATTTTCTACTAGAAGCTCAACATCCATAAAGGTTTTTGTGAAACAGGTCTACATGTGATCAGGCAAAGAGATGCCTTTGCTCTGTCAGACACCTTTCTCTAAAAGTTTATAGGCCCATTTTATTCAAGGCACGTCCTTTTGTTTTCTTTTACTTTTTAAAGTAAAAAGATATAAAAAAAAGTGAAAAGTAGTGATGGTGACCGTGACGTAACTGGCTGAATGAAGAGTTTATTTAATACAACAGTTGTTGAAGGATTAATGTAAAGTTCTGTAAATATTAAACATGGAAGATTGATCCAAAAATGTTTCGACCGAAAAGAAAAAAAGTGAAGCAAGAAATAGAAAAGGGTAAAATTTTGCTAGTATTGTACTTAATAATAAATCTAAGTTTTGATTAGTTTGAGAAATGTTTTTCGAATTCAATTTATATATTTTTATAAATAATTGTAAACATGCTTCCTTATCTTTACTTTATCTTTTTGTTTTTCAAAATTTATATGAGAAATGATGAAAATTGTTTTTATTGTGTTTGAGTTGTATGGTGAGTGGTTGTTATTATGTTCTCTGGATGGGGGTGAAATTTGGAGTGCTTGTTCATGTGGGTTTGCTTTTGTGTGTTAGTGTAGTGTGCGTAGAATCTCTCTCTTTTGTAGGTAGATACTGTATTGACTAGATTGGGATCCTGGAGAATGAAAATCTTGGTTTAAGGTTGTCGCAGAGCAGAGCAAGTGTAACTAAAAAAACTAATATATAGATAAGTGAAAAAGTCCAGCAAGGTTAGAAGTAAATATAAATGCCATGGAGCAATTTAGGGATATGAAATGGAAAGCTGTTTTCTTTTAGTACAGTTCCCTTACTATATTCAAGTGTAACTAATCATCAAAGGGTTTATTTTTTCATTATCAACGTGTCTCTAGCTTGTTTTGGTCCACATCAATGTGTCTTTTGGATAGTACTTCTTGTATGGAGATCAAATGGATCAGGTCAGCTGGTCTGGGCCACAAAAAAGGATCCATATAGAGGTTCATAATGCGTTAGACATTTTTCATAAGTACGAGTTTTAAGTCCAATTCTACGATAAAAAGGCAAGCTACTTAAGATGAATCTATTCATAGAAGCTCAACGAGTTTTTGAATTGAAACACCAAAGTAACACAACAGAAAGGTGGAGATTTTCGTTTTTTTTTCTTGATTCCTGATTGCTTTACACTGTCAAGAACAGCGCAGAAAGTGACATATTCTGAGCACAGAGAAAGGAAATATTGTATAATGCCATAGCATTTGTTAACATGCCACAACAGAAAGGGTATAACACGGTAGAAGAGTTTGTTTCTGCACACACAACTCTTGATTGTTTATTTAGTCGCATAACAATTAAGGACCAAAATAAAGAAAATTTAATTAAAAACTAAAAACACATTCATTACTAGTGCATGATGCTAGCCTTCCTCTCCTCTTTCCACGATTTTGGAAGCTTCAAACTTTGATGATGGATACGAAACTATAAGCTATACATTGCGATCTCTTTCCCTCTCCCTCTCGCGCTTTCTATATGCTCTAAATTGTCAAAAATTACAAAGTAACCATTAAAAATCAGGAAGGTGAGATAAGATATTACAGAATACTGAAAAGGCCGTATAACACTTGTGACCGAATTTACTTACTGGCATTGTATAACCCAAGATAAAATATAGATTGGCAAAGAGATAATCACCAGACCCTGTGTGAGATCAATATTTCCTTATAAATTATTATCAGAAAAAATTGAATATCAACAGAAATGTTTAATAGACTAAAATTAAATTCATTAACACTAAATTATAACGCAAGAGAGGATGGAAGTGTTGCCCATCCACACTTACCCAGTACAAAGTGTGACCAACTTTGTCATCCCTCGGTGGAGCATAGTTATAAGCATCCTTAACAACTAGCACTGCCATAAACTGAAAGATGTACCATAAATGAAGATTAACATAAACATTGACAAGAAGGTAAAATAATTGAATTTTAAATATAAAATTCTCTCATATCCTTTGGCTAAAATTTCAAGGCGAAATTAAAACAACTATACATAGGTCATCAAGATTGAACTTATTTAAAATTAATCTTGAATTCTTTATTATGAATGTATGATCAACTATGAAGATTTACATAACACATACATACGTACATTGCCCGCACAATAACCTATACAATAGATGAGCATCAAGTACTCTTACAATGAGGAGTGCTGTTCCAAATATCACTCCTCCACTGGGATTTCTCAAGGTGAAGTCTTTATTCATCGATTCAATGAGGCCATTGGTGGCACGCTCTACCACCAACAGTGGTGCTTGGATTTGAGTGTTTGTTCCAGGAAACGTCCATTCCTCACTGCCACAAAAATAATGTATTTTTATGTTGACATTACTGTTTTAATTTCTACGGATCAAGTTTACATCTGATAATTATATGTGAATTATTTATAAACTAAAATTTAAGGATAAATGGACCATGTACTCTTGAAGAAAGCTATTATACAACTTGCCTTATCTCTGTCTCATCAGAAGAAGAATAAATGGGTTCCGGAACTGTATAATTTGGATGGTAACGCTGCATATCCGAATCATGGAGAAGAGAAGCACTATAATTTTTTCCTTTACACATTCATTGCAGTCTAAAATAGAGCTCTATTGAAATGAAATTACAAGTAGTCTCTAGCCCTAAGACAAACAAATAAAAAGCAATAAGTTTATAAGCATGGATGTTTGTAATATATGTAAATTGACTAATTTTCATCAACAATAAATGATTGTGTCGACGGTTATATTTTTAATGACAACTTAATAAGTTATATGTAGCAATAAATAAGTAGCTAGGCAGATAATTCCAATGTTGCAGGGTTTACTTGGAAACAAGATAATTAAGGCAATACTACCAAAGTAAACAGAACCTGAAAGAGATTAGACTCAACTATGTACACAGGATACATATATAAGCCTATAACATCACTATTATTACAATGATAATTAAGGTGGTCGATCCACACCTGCTTGCAAATCTCACAGATCATGCTGCCTTTGGAATGGTACCATTGGTCAATGCAGTTCTTGTGAACATACTACGGCACAAGAGGGTGGAAGGAGAACAAGAAGATTATCATTTAATTTAGCGGTCAAACCTTTATAACGTAAATAAAGATACATATATAAACTTGTTACTGAAAGCCATGATAGAAAAATTATACGGAAAAAAAAAAAAAATCCATACATCAAATACATTAACTCTAAACGAGATATTACTAACGCAAGTCCTTATATTTTAAGCATACAAATTTTTTTTTTATTTAAAAATCTTTATCATTTTTAATGTATAAAATACTTATTTTTTAAAATAAAATTTTACTATTTTTAAATGCTTAAAATCAATATTAAAAGTTAATGTTAACAATTTGCATGATAAAAAAGTTATGTTACAATAGAATGACGATTGCGATTAACTCAATGCATAACAAATTCACATAGGCTCAATTTTGTAATATTTAACTTTGAAAATTCAAAATTTTCTATAGTAAATAGACATATATATTAATGATATTGGTAATCAGTATTCAGTGATGCTATTGTAATTTAGTAAAAAAAAAAAAACAATCATGATCACAATACAACCAGGATTGTAATTTAAAATCTTGCAGATTCAATATGGGAATCCCATTTAATAGAAAATCACACACACAAAAAAAAAGAGAGTAAATATCAACCATTAAGTGTAAAATTGTACTACCCTCAAGCTGCCATTGCAAGAGCATGGTGTTTCCAGTTTAGAAACAAAGTCTTCCTCGTGACAATAGCGGCATTCTCTCATATCTTCTTGAGATTCTTCACAACATTCTTCAGGATTTTGGACATTGTCATCCGTAACAGGCCTCTTGTCCTTTGAAGCTTTCTGGGATGCACTAAATTCTTCTATGGGGATTGCAATGTGGTGTTGAGTAGTCAAGGATCCTTGGCCTCGAGTTCCCTGAAATATCTCAGCAGAGATAGTGACATGATCTCCCATGTTGTCCCCTTGTATCTATAACGGAAAACATGGTTATCATAACTAAATAATTACAAAAGTTGGCTAGGAAACATGTATCAGTGTGTTCATTTTGGTTTTGATGAAGAGTATGCGTAGAAAGGTTTATAAGGTTGGGACATATACTTTTAGAATAGCGAAGAAACGTATGTATTATTGATTGTTGGAAAACGGAAAAAAATGATAAATGAACTAGATTATTTTATGTTCATGAACATCTCTTAAGCTATGTTTCTTTGATGCCAAAAAATAATTAAAAAAAAAATTAAAAGAAAAGAATTATAACATTTCTTCATTTCCCAACGTTGGTAATAAGACATAACGTTTGGACACTTCATATTTTCTAAATAATTGTAACCCCACCAACCTAAATTCAGCAAGAAGGGGACAGTGTTCTTTCAATGCCTTCAAAACCCAGAGCCTATCTTGATCATGTTCATGTATAATAAATTATTAATTAAAATCAAGAATAAAAAGAAAAAAGATAAGTTCCAACGACGCATTTACCCTCAGATAATTAAAATTATGGCCTACGTATATGCAAAAGTTATACGAATTTTTTTAAAAAAAAGGGAAAGAAAATTATTTAAATTCATGTTTCAAAAACTCAATTCAGATCTTCACCATGTCACAGGACGAACAGACAAACGTACATGACCCTCCACTATTTCATTTCCCTTTCAGGAACCAAAGACATCGCATCATAAATTAAAAACAGTGATATACGGCTTCAAAGATGTCGAAGAATGGAAGATTTTGGAAAAATAGATCGAAACAAACTCCAAATAATAACAATAATTAATCTGCACGTAAAGCACACATCACTTCATTTCTGAAATGAAAAATAAATCTTCTTTCCAACTAGGAGAGAGAGAGACTGCACCACAAAAAGCAGAAGTTAGAAAGAAAAGGAAAATAATAATAATAATAATAATAAAGAGTACTGAGAATAAAAGCTTTACTCTGGTTCTGCTATCTATTTGCAACCAATCTCTTGTTGTGCTCAGCATAGTTGCAGCAAGAACCTGTTTCTATTAGTAGTGAATGAATAGTGTGATCAGTGAAGACTGAATAATATAATCTGATCTGTAACTGAGATGAACATGAATCCAGGGCCTGTGTGGGGTCCATAGATTAAGAGTTCCATATGGCAGAAGGGGAAACAAAGGTGATGTGCTTCAAAGGGACGCGTAATGATCATTCCATGCCACATAGTTGAGACCCTTTCGGCTTTGTTAGGCCACCATTGCCTCAACATGGCCCAACTTCAGTTACTCAAAATTGGCTTCTATAGGACATTTACCAAATTGAAATTTTCTCAAAATAAAGTGACCAAATTGCCCTCTTGAGGTTTATCTGAATTCATGGAGCAGTTAAGTGCCACCGACTGGATCCTCTTTTATTTCATCATTATATGATTTTTATCTTTTTTTTTTCCTTGTTCTCTTTTGTGAGTTGCTTCCACATATGGAAGTATGTGGCAAGCTACCACTGAAATCCGGTTCACTACTTCCGTGTGTTGGTGCTTTTTGTGGTGAGTTAGGGAAATATTATGGGTTTGTTCTTAAGTTAATTTATAGAGTAAATGTGCTTAACGGTTTATTTCTGTTCAATAGATTTTAGTATGTTGGCAGATTTAACTCACTTTTCTATGTTCTAATAGAAATCTTTTTCAGAATTCTTGGTATTTGTATTTCCCTTTCCAGTGACGTGTGTTGGTGGATAAATATACTTTTTCGCTTTAGAAAAAGTTATACATAAAAATGATATATTTTTTATATGGTTTTAAATACTAGAACATCATCGCATGTAACTAACACAACTCATAACACATTTAGTAGACAGCTACGTTGTTTAAGCATATCTAAAGATGTTCGATTTCTAATTGCATATAAAAGAAAAACCTTATTAAAAGAAATAAAGGTTAATCCTGTGCTTTTTACATCTTGAAGAGATTGATTTTTAATTATTGAGTGAATATACCCATCGTACACGCGAAAAACAAATTCACATGTATAAAATACGAATATATGTGTATAACATGTTTTTAAAATGAAGAAATCATTACTAAAAATATTGATCATTAAGGACCAAAAGTTTAATTGCTAATTTAATAAAATTAGTCGGTAGTAATCAATTTTATTGAGTGGCTAAAATTCTTCGTCACTTAATTATTAGTAACTGATTTAGATACTGAATTTTTAGAGACTAATTTAGTAATGATTGTAACCATTAATTTAGAAATTGATTTTAGTGCCCATTTAAAAACCAATTTCAGTGGCTGATTTGCATTGGAAAATGATTTTAGAAACTAAAGAAAGACTGATTCAAATGGATTAATTAGTCACTATTTTGTACAATGTTTAAAATTTTTTAAAATTAATTAAAAAATAATTTTTACCTAATAACATATAATTAAAAATTTATCATGCTTAACGACATCAATGTAAAGAAAATTACGTGTATATTCAACATTATCAGCCTTTCTCCATACAAAGTCTACTTAACATAACTGTCATGTAGATGTTTGTCATTCCTTTCATTTCTATAGTGAAATGATGAGGAGCTAGCAAAGTCTAAACCATGTATATAAAGATTAGTGTAATATCACTTCAATATATGAAGAAAATATGAATTTTTCTTGCTGCTTCTTTTCAGTTTTCTGCATTTCTCTTTTATCTTAGATGGTATCAGAACTATTTCAAAGAGCTCTGCTGCGCATCGATATCTCATGGCAAGGAATTCAAGTAGCAGAGTTATTGCTTTTCAAAGAAATCAATAGAAATAGAATGAATAACAACATCTGTATGACAGCAATCTTCATGTTTTTGACTACTTGTGTTACTCGTCTACCTTAACTTCCAATCGACACAAGTTTGATCCTCGATCGCTAAAATGTGATTTCCTGGGACATAAAGTTGGAATCAAAGGATCTATTGTTTTGGATCTTCTTACTAAAGAAATAATGGTATCCTACAGAACTTGAGGACCAATTGTCATGGTGCTCATGGTCATGTTAACGAGCCCATGAGCAAGGGGCCCAGAAAAGATTCCGAAGCACACAAATCAGAACTTGCATGTGTCAGACATGATTACGTGGGTTGTTCAATTCGCTCCACGTCTCTATATCCCTCGTCATCTTCATCTCATATACTGATCTTTCGCCCCAACATGGTAGTTACACCTTATCTTTAGCTCTGTTAAGTATCAAGGAACCTACTTTGTACACTGAAACTTGTGAATATTCATGTTGAAAAGATGCCATGAACACTGTAACTGAGTGCTCTTGAATACAACAAAACTTGGGTCATTGTTCATCTTCGTCCTAATATGTTGTGCCCCTAGTAGGAACAAGTGGGTGTACAAGGTAAAGCCAAAGGAGATGGATCAGTTGAACACTCAAGACTCGTCTCGTTGCAAAGTTCTCAACTGTGGATTGCTAGGGCATATACGGTTTCAGATGGACATCCATTAGCACTATTTATTTATCAAATGTTGTTATTATATATACACTATTCCCATACTGCGTACACCTTTATCCTTTTATGTGAAGTATGAGCAGGAATCTGATTCCATATTGTTTATTCAAACGTTTAGCTTATTGATGTAGCATTTTCATCATGGCGCTATGCATAAATAGAAGTTTCAGAAGAATTTATATGCTGTATTATTTTTGTTCATGATAATGCTAGGGATTTGAATTTGTGCCTTTTTTTAAATGAAAATCCTCCTAAAGAAACTTAAATAGAGAGAATGAACACTGTTTATGAACAACTAAACCAGTTTGGTGCAAATGATCCAATGAAACTAAATGGTCAACACATCTTTTACCTTCTCTAAAATAATGGTCCACAATAAAATTACTAGAATTATGAAGAATCTGTCTGATATCTTTCACCAAAATAAACAAATGATTGAAAGATTTATAATCATGCCTAATCAAATAAAAACTAAACGAAAAATAAATCTCAATAATTAGATTAATCATACCCATTTGTCTAGCTACACTTAAAGCATGACAAACAGCCCCACAACTCAGCTTTCAAAATCGGATATATTCTCAAATTACAGGAGAAAGACGTTATATTGGATCCATCAGCCTTCCTCAAAACACCACCACAAGAAACTTTATTGGAGCTCAATTTCTGTAAGTCTAAGATAGGATTACCAAAAACAAAATTATTTCTATTTATCCACAGGTACCAAATTCTCACAGAAAACAAATTTTTTCCAGTCTACACCATCCATGATTGAACTTTGACCAGTCCCTATTCCCTTTGGTGAAAAAAGGAACCCACATGTTGTCATCAACAATCTCAGACCAAAAATCCATTGCAAATGGACAATCCATAGAACATGTAAGACAGATTATGAGTTATCTCCACACTGAGAACACCCAATATTAACAGCCTTACATCTCTTACCACGTTTCTCATTGGTCAAAAGTTTGTCATAAAAAACCTTTCAACAAGGAGCTTGGATCTTCGGAGGGCCGGGTCAATTCCAAATTAATTTTGCTACTTGATCAGTACATAAACGTTGCTCCTGGTCACGAAGAAGAGAGTAGGCAGAGGATATCATGAATTCACCTGAAGGAGAATAAAATCATACAAAAGAGTCAATTCATTAATTATGAGAATTTAAATTACGAGTATGAAGTTTTTCTTTGCATAATTATACACCAAAAAATATAGCTCAAGTGACACAACGTTTTATGAATTGTTTCATCATAAATTGACTTCAACTTTTTATCATAAATATTAAGCTATGATCATAGCTTAATTTCAAGTGATTTTACCAGCTGTTGATAACATATTTACACTATATATGAGAGAAATTACGAAATAAGTTAATTTCAAGTAATTTTAAGTGATTTAAAATAAGTAAATGGAGAAATTAATTTGGAGAAAAAATAATTTACAAATTTTAAAATTTCTTGACAAAATTATACTTAAAACTTTAAATATCCCCTCTTCTCCTAT